TGAAGAAGATAGCGTATGTGAAGAAGAGAGAAGCAGACGAGTGAAAGAGGAACATGAGAGGATGGAGAGAAAGTACACAATTTCAACATATGGACCACAAAGAGAACACGAACACCATAAGAGTGAGCTAAGCCACAGAGAGAGGAAGTATACAGAACACACAGACAAACGTCACATAGCGCGTGAGATAGACGAGTCAGAGTATAGTTAGACATTAGATCACTGTTTGATCCTTGCCTACGAGCGCTGCACGCCATGCCTCCCGCTTAGCCGCTAACCTACGAGGCGTGGGACAAATTAAGACAAAAGAAAATTTAAAAATATGGCGACGGTGCACAAACTGTTGTGTTCAGTGCCATTAAGAGTGATTGTCAAGAGATTAAAGGTGAAAGAGAAGAGAGGAACGGAAATAGAAAATTAATAGATTATGGTGGAAACAGAGAAGGAGGAAGAAAAGAAAGAAAAGAAAAAAAGAAAAAGGAAAGATAGGAGCCAGAGAGGGGAGGAGGTGGACGCGAATGCACGGGTACAGGAGGATGGAGGATGGAGGAGGAGGAGGAGAGGGAGGCAGGAGGAGGAGGAGGAGCGAGGAGAGAGTGTGGAGGAGGAGGAGGAGGAATGAGAGAGAAGGAGAAAGGAGAAGGAGAAGGAGGAAAGAGACAGGAATTATGTAGATCAGAGAAGGAGAGATGAGACAGTGAATAGAATGTAAGAAGGATACGGAGGAGTAGGACATAGGAAGTTCGGACAGCGTATTAAAGATTCTCGGGGGATCTCTTTTGCGTCCTGGGGAGAGAGGTCGAAAGGGGAATGGTTTCATGGAGGGAAAGGGAATTCAGAGATGCTAGGGCTGTATTATTCTTTATTAACCTTTTCCTCTGACAGTCTCTCGCGGATATCGTTACCAACCGGTGAGAGTTTATCTTGGTTCCCTTCTCCTTCGTCCAAACACTTTATTTTCTCGCTAAAGTTCTTTCTCGCGACACTGTTCTTAGTCTCCTCGCTCTGAATCTGGGACAACTTTTTTATTCTCTTCGCTGGTATAAGTTATTCCGGTCTGCAAAGCAGGCTTGTAAAGATTTTAAATCGATCCTTTCTTCCGCGTGTCGCATTTGTTTTTTCTTCCTTTGCAATTTCCTCCAGCACTATTATTTTAATCCCTTCTTCTTCCTCCATTTCGTTTTTTTTTTCTTCCTTCCTTCAAACTGCTGTGTTATGGTTCTCCCTCCTTTATTCCTCTATCTTTGCTCTAGTTCATTCGAACTCTGATATGCTTTTCAATATAACTCCCTCTTCGTGCGCGTGGCGCTGATCATCGTGCGTCTCGTCCTCTGCGCTTCATCTCTCTCCGTAAGAAGGGAAGAACTCATCTATCTCTCTCATCTCTCGTCATCATCTCTCTATCAATCCTCTCTCATCTCCTCTCAGTCTCGGATCATTCTCTATTTCAACTCACGACTTCTTAAAATTCTCATTTTCATTAATGAAACCCTTTGTCTTCCCCCTCGCGATAACCCCGCACGGTAGCCAGTCCTCCAGGCATTAAGTGCCTCTTGACGTAAGAGGACTTTATTCTCAGTCTACGGTGCGAGATTCGTTGATCGACAAATCAAAAATTATACTCAATCATGGCTTAAACCATTTCGTTTAAAAATTCCCTTTTAAAACAAATTTCACTCTTCCATCCTCGGGGCGCGCGTACTCCAAGGCACAATAACACATTCCTAAAGCTAAATAAATGATCTCGCGAAATCGTTTCCATCAGGGTCTCTCGTCTGCTCTCTCGTCTCTCTCGTCTCTTCTCTCGGGTCCTCTCTCTACTCTCTCTCTCTCACTCTCTCTTCTCTCATCTCTCTCTGGCTCTCTCTCTCCCTCCTTATTGACACGTTCTTAAAATTCCCCTTTCATCATAGAATCCTTTTTCCATCCCCTCCGTCGGCGCCTCCTGCAGCATGGAGCATGCCTGACAGCTAGGTGTGGTGTTCCTGCTGCCCTCACTGCCAGCGGGGGAGAAGTCGTCTTCGGGGGCCGAACTCTGCCTGCGTCCTCAACGTCCTCTTCCTCTACTACTCGGCAACGTTCATAGGAACGCCCCCTCGCACACGCCCCTCCAATAGTAAGGTGCTGTAGGGAGAGGATTGTTGTTTATTTGTTTATTTGTTTTATTTTTGTTATTGTTGTTTACTTTGATTTTTTTTTTTTTGGGGGGGTTATTCGTTTTTTTTTATGCTCTTCTTCTTCTCCTCTCCTTCTACATGCGTCTCCTTCTTCTTCTTACTTCTTCCTTCTAACATCGTCTTCTTCTTCCTCTTCTTCTTCCTCCTCCCTTCTACATCTTCGTCTTCTTCTCCGTTACATTCTTCTTCTTCCTTGTCTACTTCTTCATCATCATCATTCTTCTTCTTCTCCCGTCCTCCCTCTCCCACTCCTCCCCCTCCACCTCCCTCTTCCTCTTCCCGCCTCCCTCTCGCCCCTCAGCCTGCCTCCTCTTTCCACTTCCTTCCTCTCCTCCCCTCCTACCACTCACCACTGTTTCCCTCCACCTCCACCCCCAGCACGCGCTCACCCCTCCTCTCTTCTTTCTTCAACTTACCCTCGTCTCTCTCCTCGTCTCCTTCCCTCATTCCGTCTTTTTCTCCTCCTCCTTTATCGTACATTTTTTTTTTGTTTTTTTTTTTTTTTTTCTTTTTTTTTTCATTTTTTTTTTTTTTTTTTTTTTTTTTTTTTTTTTTTTTTTTTTTACCTCATTTTCTCTTCTTCCTTCTTCCTTCTTTTCTTCCATCTCTTCTCTTTTCCTCTCCCCTCTCTCCTCCCTTCGTTTCCACCCTCCTCCTCTCCTCTTTCTCCGTAACTCTTTTCTTCGCTCTCTCTCTCTCCTCCTTTTCTCTCTTTTTTTTTTTAATTCTTTCTCAGTTTTAATAATCTCTCAGTTAGCTGTCCTATACTTCTCAAAGGTCATATTTCTTTCAGTAATAACCTAAGTGGATAACTTTTTTTTTCTTCAGTTTTTAGGTTTTATTTTTTTCAATAGTTTATTTATTTATTTAGTTTTTTTAATTCATTTTTTAGTTCTTAGGTTTTATTTTTTTCATAGTTTATTTATTTATTTATTTATTTTTATTCATTTTTTAGTTCTTAGGTTTTATTTTTTTCATAGTTTATTTTATTTATTCATTTATTTATTTTTATTTATTCATTTTATTTATTTATTTATTTATTTATTTATTTATTTATATTATTATTCATTTATTTTTTTATTAAGAAAAGGGTTAAGGTTGTGGTTTTAATTATGATGATCTTCGGTTTGAAGTTTCAGATTAGAAAATTAATATTCTTTCAGATCTTTCTAAATACCAATTTTTTATTTTATTTATTTATTTATTTTTTACTTCTTAACTATTTGCCTCTCCTCTCTTTCTCTCTCTCTCTCTTTTATTTATTTATTTATTTTTTTTTTATTTTTTTTGCTTAATCATGGTTGGTGTTATAGATGGATGATATCAATACCAGTTTTCGCTTTTAAAAGTTCATGTTCGTTATGATTTTGTCTCTCCCCCTCCTCCCCCCTCTCTCTTCTCTCTCTCCCACTCTCCCCATCCCTCTCCATCCCCCTCCTTCTCCTTCTCGGCCCCCCTCCTTCTCCTCTCTCTCTCTCCTCCCTCCCCCCCTCTCTCGCTCTCACTCCA